CGGCGGGGACCCACAAGCCAACTGGACATTGCAGTGCTCTTCCTCCAGGCTGGACGCTGCAAAGTAGTGTTAGAGGCTTCAATAATTAGCGAACTACTTACCTTATGAACCTGGTATAACCGGTATAACTATAGCGATCATAATATGCCCCAAGATCCTATTCCATCATTTAGGCCTCCAATGCCAGGCTTTGGATGATGGACGTTCCAAGCCCCCCAATTCCCATTACACTTCGTATATTCCTTACATAATCCCTCATGTTGTTGCAGAGAATTGATGGTATGCTAAGATATCATCATAGTGCGACGTGATGACAGGTCGGTCACTCGCTCTCATGACCAATCCTTGCATGATTCTTGAAGGGGACCCTTAGATTCCTAAGTGCCCCTACTTGGAGGGTCATGGGGACTTAGTGACTGGGTGAATAATGGGAATGACTGGGATTATTATATGGTTTATAACTAGGTTGGCCTCTCAAACCCATTGAAAAATCCTAGTATATATGGTCCCCTATTAAAGCTAGGGAAAATTTTCAATATCCCAGGGGCCTACCCAGATAAGGGTTATAAGTATACTCACTAAGTTCCCTGACCCCCAAGTAGTGTTCATCCTCGGAGTCCTCGCCTTTGTGACTTTTGGCAGGAGAAGCTATGGGGGTTTCCCAAATTATGGGGTCACTGTTTTGGGGGGTCCCAAGAATAAGTACCATAAGGACTATAGTATATTGGGGTTTATATTGGGGTCCCCTTATTTTGGGAAACTACCCTATCCCCCAGAGCACGCCTGGGACATGGGCATTTGTAGCATGTGAAATCCGTCAAGTTTCTCAAGCTGGGGTATTAGGGTTATATTGGGGTTATGTCGGGATAATGGAAAAGAAAATGGAAACTACTATGATGGGTTTCTGTGTATATTGGGGGGGTGATATTAGGGTTATATTGGGGTTACATTGGGATAATGGAAAAATGCAAACTATTACAATGGGTTATATATATATATAGGGGTAACATTAGGGTCATATTGGGGTCTCAAGTGCTTTGCTTATGCTTGTTTGGCCCTTGAGTTTGGGACCATGTCTAGGAAGCATGTGGACCTAGTTTTTGTGAAGCAATGTGGTTCTAGATGGTTGAAGCTCTTCTGGTGCGCCAGATGCTGGATACCTGTAGGGACAGGTAAGCCAAGGATTCCTATCATTCTTATGATTTTTACTAATTTTATTGCTAATGTTATTATTGGTACTATTCTATGTATAATGGTGGCTAGCCATCTTGGCTTAAGATGAAGCATCCCCAAAGTACTTTCACAAGCATGTCATTCCAGGTAGCTCCCTTGAGCCCACTGGTCCATGAGTTGTTCGGGCAGCTTGTGCGACACGTGCCTGCCTCAGGCTCATCAATGTAGAGGCTTCTGCGAATTCAGGCTGCCAAAGCCCTAAACTCCAAAGCCTTGGGGTTCAGGGTTTAGGGTTTAAACCCCTAAAGTCTCAACCCTGAAAAAAACCCTAAACTGGAGGGGCTTAGGCTTGGGGTTCAAGGTTTGAGGGCAGCTTTCACAGCGTGGTTTGCAAAGCAGATGAGGCTTCAGCAAAAGGATGCATGACCGCAAGCAGTGGGCTAATAGAAACAGTAACAGTGACAGTAACAGGAACAGTAACAGTAACAGTAACAGTAGTAGTAGTAGTAGTAGTAGTAGTAGTAGTAGGCGGCGCCCCCCCCCCCTACCAACTATGTTGGTTGATATTTCCACTACCAGAGCTTTGGGGGGAGGGGGGAGGGGGGGGGACGGGGCGGATAATTGCGTATAAACCCACCTCAACCAGTCATCTTCCCCCAAACTTGATGCCTTCCTTCAAATTCTACAACT